TCACACAATGTTTCTTTCCACAAAACCACCGGTTTTCTATTCTCGTTCGACATTACAATGAGCAATCTTGTTGAGTTCCAAAATTGCGCTTTCGCCATCGTCTTGTATTACCTTGATCATACGATAGGGCAAGGAAAAAAATGCGTACCAAATATTCCAGTCCACAATATATGCCGAGTAGGTTGTTAATATACAAATGTCCTATTTCTTTCTCGCGATTGTAGATGAAATTTTTATTTACAGAAAAACGACAAAACTGCATGAACCTCTAAAAATGGTAGAAGCTTAACCAGGATTATTCATATTAATAGTTTGGACGTTCTCTGGTTTATAAAAATTTATTGAAACGAGCTTTCGACTGCCAGTCTGCAGTCTTCAACGGGCAAGTGATAATGAATTACATGGAAAAACATTGGTTTACAATTACATACAAAAACAATTAAACAGTTCCGCTCCGCCTACATTATAGATATATGATGATATTATATTAACAAGAAAAATAGATTAACTAGAAAAGTCTACGTTCAAACTCGAAGCACACCACCGCCATCTCAATTTCACTCACCGCGCACTAGAAAATCGTTGGTTTCCCAAGTCACTGCGGTTCAAAACACCTGGCAGCCATCCTATGTTCAAACGTATTATGGAACAGACAAGCATTCACTGTATGAAAGCAAGAATCGCTATTTGCCATCAACAAATACGGTCCACTAATCACATAATTACTGAGAATCGACAAAAACGTTTGACCATGATATCCGATGACTCCTACGCTCGCCTCTCTAAGTTTCTAAAATGCAATGCTGCATCTGTTAATAACAACATCTCCGCCAGACATCAAAAGAAACTACAAAACTTAAACAACGAACTTGGTCCAGCACAGACAACTGAAAGAAAGGAATGGGTGACCAACCTTTCCAGCAAGCCCCTATCGACCTGTGAACGATCCTTCTTGGAAAAAGGGCCCAGGTTTGCTCCAACGCCGCTTTGTATCCCCCACAAGAACATAGTTGCCGAGATTGAAGCAGCCATTTCTAACCTACCTGACGAGTCCAAAGATGCCATTCGAACCTCTGCAGCAAGTCTTCTACAACGATCTCAAATACCCAACCACAAGAATACCACCGCTGATGAACGCAAAGCAATTCTGAAGCTAAAGAAAGACAAGACTCGTGTCATAATGAAAGCGGATAAAGGGAACTGTTTTATTGTCATGGATCGAAGCGATTACGATGCAAAGATGTAAGATTTGTTGAGTGATCAGGACGCTTATGAGAAAGTCGATAAGCCCCCGTTCAAAAGAATTGAACGCCATTTGAATTCACAGTTACTTGAGCTAAAACGCGAACAAAAACTTGACCAACGTACGTACTTTAAACTACATTCCACTGACGGTATACCACCTGCTATACGAGGATCTGTGAAACACCACAAACCCAACAATGCTCTTCGCCCAACCGTTACTTGTAGGAATACAGCACTCTACAACACTTCTAAGTTTCTTGCCGACATTCTTTCACCGCTTCAAAACCATGATAGCTACTCTGTTGACAATTCCACCGACTTTGTTAAAAAGATTTCTCATACTAACATCGACGATGACGAAATCATGATCTCTTTTGACGTAGTTTCTTTATTCACAGCTATACCAGTTGATAGAGCATGTGAGCATATCCGCAGCAAACTCACGAAAGACAAGACTTTACAAGACAGAACTAAACTTTCAATTGACGACATCATCAAACTTTTACGCTTCACACTTTCAAATAATTACTTTATTTATAACAAACGAACGTACAAACAAGTTCGCGGTTGTGCTATGGGTAGTCCTGTTAGCCCAATTGTGGCAAACCTTTGCATGGAGGAAATTGAGGATCTAGCCCTTAGCCAATCGACTCTACCACCGAAGAAATGGTCTCGCTATGTTGATGATGTTTTTTCAATTATTAAAAGATATGCGTTAACTAATTTCTACAACTTACTTAATTCAATTGACCCACACATTAATTTTACTATGGAACAAGAACATGCCGGGAAACTCTCTTATTTAGACACTTTAATTACACGCAATAACGGAACACTTACAATCGACGTTTACCGCAAACCTACACACACTGGACGATACTTAGACTATAACTCACACCATAACAAACAACACAAAATTAGCACTACACAAACTCTACTACACAGGGCAGCAACATTACCTAATACTGAGCAAGGAAAACAACAAGAACGAATACATGTAACTAACGCGTTAATCTCAAACGGTTATCCCAAAAAATTCGTGGAGGAAATTGAACGCAAGAGAGCAAATAAACAACAGTTCGTACCACCACCCGAAGATTTAGTTAAAATATTTTTTTGAATGTGTTGAGCCGAAGTTTAACTGTAGCTATGCTGTTCTACCGTGCATCAAAGGCCTCACAGAACCTCTCAAACGACTTCTGAAACAACATGATATCCGAGTCATGTCAAAACCCCTGTATACCTTGGAAAAAATGTTTCCTTCGCCAAAAGACCGACCACCCGCGAAAAACCAAACTAATGTTATCTATCAAATTGGTTGCTCGGACTGCCCATGGAACTACATCGGTGAGACAGGTAGAGCTTTCAACACCAGAAAAAGGAACATGTGAGAAATGTTAAACAATTCAAGGACGGGTCTAACATCGCTAAACATGCTTGGTCAAGTGATCATAAAATAGATTTTGAAAACAGCAAAATCATCGACAAAGGAAACTACCGTCATAGATCAACCCTCGAAAGTTGGCACACTGCGATTACAACTAATGCTGACAATAACTCGAAACATTTGCCTGAACAATACCGGTTTCTCTTAAAAAGATCTTGAACAGTTAATCTATTTTTCTTGTTAATATAATATCATCATATATCTATAATGTAGGCGGAGCGGAACTGTTTAATTGTTTTTGTATGTAATTGTAAACCAATGTTTTTCCATGTAATTCATTATCACTTGCCCGTTGAAGACTGCAGACTGGCAGTCGAAAGCTCGTTTCAATAAATTTTTATAAACCAGAGAACGTCCAAACTATTAATATGCATGAACCTCGCTATGAATCTTTCTACATGCTCAACCATCTCATCTTCGTATCGTTCTTGCCAGTCAAGAAAATGAAGTCTGAAACCTGTTTGTGGTATATGTTCAAGTCCAACCATATACGTATAGTTCGGATATATATAAACTCTAAACTTTAATCTATCGTACGATAATCGAAACACAAACCTATCGTCCTCTTCGTGCTATAATAATGTTTCGAACAAATAATACGCTATGTGAAAACGTCCTTGCAATAACACGGTCGAAGTCATTTTAAAAATATCTTGTTACTATCACGCTCAGTTTTTCCAAACATTGGACACAGTCCCATTGTACGTTGAGATGTGTCGCATTCTTATCGAAACGTAACCCTAGCGATTGATGTATGGTTTTAATCTTGAAATTACACTTATCATTGTTGTGGTTATCCAAAATCACATTTCTGTCATTCTTCTTTTTACATTCGCCCAAATACCAACCACTAATATATATATATCAATATTAAATACGTAACCACATACACATTTTTCCTTATACGTTTTATTCGACGTCGTATCGTATAATGATATATATATTAAATTTACACGCTTTGCTTCAATCATTTCATCATCGTGCGTGCGTGCGAATAATCCACTATCTGTAACCGTCGCCATTATGGGTAAAACTAAACAGAAGGGTGGAAGTTTCAAGGGTAAAAAATATCAAAGGTAAAAAAACCCATAAAAAACAAAAATGTGGTATATTCTCGTTACCCGCACTTCTCGGCAGTTTATTTGCACCTCCTCGAGCTGCACCCCGACGTCTCCCACCTCCAAGACATTACGCGGCACCACCACCACAGTATCGGAAAAAAAATATCCAGTGTTAAGACGACAGCGAGGTGGGTTTTTAACAGACGCTGTTAATACCGGTTTTCTAGATCATTATGGCGAAAACTATACAGAAAAAAACCCCGTAGGTTAATTAAGAAAAACAACAAAACCCCTGTTGTGAGAAAACAACAAGGTGGATTCAGATTAATGTGGTGCGAAATGTCATTTGCTTTAGGCGGTTTTTTTAAAAAACTTTCTACAAAGGGCTTCATTGGTGTACAACGTCTTCGCGGCAAAAGTAACCCCGAATCAGAATGTAGAATAAGACAACAATCAGATAATATTCATAAAAAAGTATACGGAAGATCAATGTACAAGTAAAAGTTGTTTTCGTTTCTCGCACATAGAAAAAATCAAATGGGTGGACTACTAATCGGTAAAGCTTGGCGAAAATACAACGATGTCTATCGACAACGATAAAAAGAAAAAACAAATACTAGAAAAATATTTTATTATTTACAACTTATATTATTTTAAATCAGTTCGCGTTTAATCTGTACTTTAAATACCCTATATTTGTATACCATTAGAATATAAAACCGGTGATAATATATCGCGTTCAACTTGTCTACAACTATTGTTCACTCTACACTGATAAACCAGTTCACCGTGCATGTTCGATTCGTTTACAAATCGTGCACAACCCGAGCCTTGCGACGCAAAGCTAAAAGGTACAATTATCAATTTGCTTAGCAATTTCGAGCAAACAATTTGGATAGTACAATTCTAATCGACGATACTATTTCAAATACTCTCGACGTACATTCCGTAGATATTTTAAATAACAAATAGTGCAAACATTAGGGTAGGCAACCTTTACAGCACAATCATACCAGGGTACAAAAGCATTGTGTAAGCGAATACGGTAATTATGACTTTACATTCTGTCAACACTTACCGATGTTGTCTGCCAACCAAGCATAATATTTTGAACCGCGTAATGCCATGTCACCATATATGATAATCGAGTAATATTTTTTCAAAATCCTAATAAGGTAATTCACTTTACGTTTTGAAGAAAATGATAAAAAGAGTGAAAATATAATTCGAAATTTCACGTCGAAACGATGAGCGATACTAAAGAGTGCAAAACGCAACCCCCACCACCCACAGTTGTTTGCAGTCAAAATTGCAACAAATGTATGGCAAATACTACGAGTCGCATGTTATATTATACGTTGGTAGAAAAATTAGACGAACGAGCTTTAAAAAGACACATTACAGAAAATAAACCCACAAATAACAATGGCTGCGAACCGGAATCACACTCTCGTAAGCTTCAATCATTCCGAGATGAATCCCCAGACCTATTCGATGACGACTTCGTCCCAAACACCCCACCCAAACGCAATAAAAAATCCATCGGCTCAACAAAAGGAAAATCCAAAACCACATTTAAACCAATCAAATTCGTTCCCAGTACAAGCGTGCCCGGCAAACTCGCAACAGCCGATAATAGAAGATATACTGCTACAGCAAAATGCAAGCTTGCGAAAAGAAATGTTGTGCCGAATGTAAACGCGTTGTGCGAGACACATCTGACGATGCTTGGTCCTTACTCTGACATAAACAAAAGCACTAAAGCTATATATTTAGTTGCAAATATGTAATGAAATCAACGCATCAAACAAAATTATATGGTACGCGTTCAATAACACTTGGCGAACAGTTTATGGACAAAGACATACAACAATTAAACAATAGATTGTGTAAAGCATTAAATAGTCCCGAAGCAAATCATACATTTGAAAAATTACGTATAAATATGGAATCAGACTACATGAAAAAAAAGACTTTATTTTAAAGAAAGAAGAGAGCAACGAAACAAAAGAAATGAGCGACGAAAGCAGCGAAAACAGCCGCGACGACGACAAAATAATATTTTTCGACGACTCGGACAACTATATCTCGCCGACTAAGATGCGGGAAAAATACAAACAATTATGTCAGTCAATAGAATATAGAACAGCTAAAAACTCTTTAATGAACTCTAAATAATAGTTTTATTACATATTTTTTCACCTAATCAATAAAATATTTTTCTAGACTGTCTTTAATTTTGTTTTTCTAAACAGTTTTTTTCATGATATCGTTTGTGTGCATATACATCACATATTTTACCCCTCTTACTTCCAAAAATCTCGCAATCCAATTCAGAAATCACAAGTGCCTCATAATAATGCGATGCCATTAACTCTTTAAAAAAATTAACATTCACACCGCATGAATCACAAAAATCAGCCCTGTTCTTCTTAACGTAATCCCTCATGATCTCTAGTTGCTTTTCATCTTCTTTCTGAAACTCACGAAAACCCCCAAGAGTGGGATGATAGCGGCACGGTGGTTCTTTTTTTTCTTCTTTTTCCTCGTCTTCTATATCATTTTCCATATCGCATTCGCTATCACCCTTTACGGCTTGAGTCGACCAGTTGCTACACTCGTCCTGGTCATCGAGTTTTACATCTCTAAGCCAAAAATGAAAACCGCCCACACTAAACACGTTGCTCATTTCTTACAATAAATCAGCGTCGTGTCGTCACACAAAATATACGCCCAAACACAAGAGAGCGTTACCAATACTAAAACACAACAAACTAAAGTGAGATCCTTAGAGAGGACTCGAACCTCCATATCATAAGTTTACTAGCTTAAACGCTATCCCGTCCATTAGGACGGTGGCACAATTGGGAATTTAACGTTTGAGCATCTTATGTGCGTTTCCGTTTCCGCCACATAGGATCCCACGTTTATAAAATGTGTCAAATTTCGCATTTAACGGATACGCAGACTAACTAAAAAATGACCGAACACTGGTGTACAGATTACGATCGTTTATTTCTTTTTAATGCAACCGATGAAACAGTACCCATTTTTAAGGGTGGCGAAACAGCAAAAAATCCTCTTGGACAAAATAAACCCATTGTATTTTTAAGATTTAAACAATTAACAGCAACAAATCGTATTGGGTTTTTAAATCCTATGGAATGTATTAAAGTAACCTTGGTATGTATGCCAAAAATAAGAAACAAAAACTCTTACTTTATATACTAAAACTATATATTTTTTTAGAAAAATTTCAACAATGTGGGTTTCCTACATAAAATAACCTACACACAATACTTGAAAGCGTATAAACTAAACGATCCACGTGACAAATTTCAAGTATTCCATATAAGGTAAACGACTTTTTCACTTTGTTTATACGTATGTATTACATTCCGTATAAGGTAAACGACTTTTTCACTTTGTTTATACGTATGGATTACCACAGGACGAGCGGTATGCTACGGGGTATGTACACACCCGTGCTTAAATTTGACCCGCCTATTACAATCAGACTAAATGTTAATTCGTTTATTAAACTAAACACGATGGTGCATACAGAAGGATGAAAATACATCTCGGTTGAAGACAAACTAAGAATGTATTTTCACAACAACACAAACACAACGTTGAATATTGTCCTTGTACACAAATTGGATGACAACGCGGGTGAATTTTACCTGGCCATGACATTACAAATAAAAGCGATCGATGAACCCAGATGTATCGTGACCTTTCAACCTGAAGAATACATATGCATTAAAACGGTATCTACCCCCCAAAAAATTTTACTCTCACACCCTCTCTTTCTAAATTCATTCTCTTTCTCTTTACAGATATACAACAAAGAAAAAATAAATGTATCAAAAATTGTTACGAAGATCACGCGAGAAGAATATCAAAATCGTATGAACGAGCAAAATCCTGAAGAATTTTTTAAAGATATTGCATAAACATGTGTACCTAAGAAAAAAATACAAAGTGGAAAACAAAATAAATTTCTTTAAAAAAAAATAATGCGCGTGCTTCCATTTATATATTAAACGTGGGACACATCCCCTCACACAAACACCCACAATGTCCGACTACAAACCCAAAACCTGGACTGGAATGTGCGAAGACCAAATCGAATTGTTTATCGAAATTCTAGCCTATTTAATTCAACGCGAAGTCGTGGATCGAAATCATAGCTGTATGTCAGTTTCAAGTTTTGAACATTTCGTTCCCATGCTGATCAACGAAGGTTTCTACGAAAATGCGTTCCAGCAATTCGAGACGATGTTAACAGATTGGGATATCAAATACCTGCCCGAAACCGGTATTACAGATAAACTGATCATAAATGGCAATCTACCCCGAAAACTATATTGTGCAAGAGTAAGGAGTATGATTCCAAATGGCAAACTGAAGAAATACGCTGACGTTTACGAACAATTAGAATAAAACATTAAAAGGAAATATGTAAAAAACAAAGTGGAAACAAATAAATTTTTTTAATAAAAAATCGTGCTTCCATTTATTATATATAACTACACACTTTACACATAAACTAACTCTTTCAACCATGGCTACAAGAATAGAACCTGAGAATCATCCTATCTCTATAAACATGTTCAACAAACAACTAGAGTACATTTACATTCGTATCGACTCAAATGAAGAATATGATAGTATACTAGTTCCACCGGGCTCGAACCCACCACACTTTCCAGCACAACAACTCGTTATCACCGTTCATGGTCTATGCAAAAATGTCAAACGCATCGCTTCTATAAAACATGGTCATTGTGTAAAAATCACACCGGTAAGGTCTCCTGAAACTCCGTACGCCGATGCGAAAATCTTGCCTTGCGCGACAAAACAACAAATTGTGGCGATAACAATACGTTAGTACATGCAGCAATTTTGCGAACCATTTCCAACAGCGAACACAAGCCATCGTCTTCGCGTAACATTTCCTCGATCACTAAATATTTACCGTTCTCAAACGGTTCGTTCATAAGTTCGTTTTCGAAAACAACATAGAATCCGTCCCAATATCGAAGTTTGACGGGACCCATGACGGGACCCATGCTCAAACTCCAAAACTCGTAAGGGTACAACCACTTAGGATTTTTTATCGAACCGTGTATAATCGCTATATGTCTTATATTCGTATACAAAAAATACCCACAATACCAATCCTAATCATACCTAATCATATCTCGTCTAAGCTGAGCCAAAGCTTGATCAAATTTAACACACTCCTCGAACTCCATCTTAATAATAATAGCTTTATTCATCCATCTTAAGATAAAAAAGTACAATGGACTTACAATTACTTTTTTAAGAAAGTATATATGCTGTGGGTATGTCTTTATATTACAAATTGTTGTAAGATAATTTAGAAAGCTAACTAAGAAGTTAAAACTAATAAGTTCTTTAAACTAGTAAGTTCTTCCAATAAGTTAAAATTATTTATACATATTTACAAGCTCTTCCTGAAAAAGAATGTTTATGCCTTTCAGTTCCTGAGAAGAATGATATATTGCGATTCCGGTCAATGTTCCTTAAATTGTACCGATTGTTAATTAATTTTGGCAAAACACTGCGACAGGGATGGTTTGGATCGTTCATTACTATTAGAATCTACGCTCACTATTTGGTGTTGTGTGCAGTCATCTGCATACTTATTCGTACTGACTTTTAGTTGTTCTGGTAAGGCGTCCTCCAAATCATCAATGTAGGTATTAAAAAGAATGGGAGATATTACAGAGCCTTGCGGGACTCCGGCCGGGCATGTTGCAATGGATGATAAGGTACCATTGAGATTTACTTGTTGAACTCTTCCGGAAAGGAAACTTTTAATCCATAACCAGAAGGGTTTATTTATGTTCATAGCTGCTAATTTGTTCAAAAGAATATTGTGATCCACAAGGTCGAAGGCCTTACGAAAGTCAATGAAGGCCGCATGAACCCCCATTTTGCCTGTTTTTGAACAATCAGTGGCATTAAACCAAGTTTGGGTAGTTGATATTAACGCAGAGACTGTGCTTCGATGTTGAGTAAACGCGTGCTGGTTATGCTTAATTTTCAGATCTTCAATATTTAACTGGAGCTGGATCTTTTCCAGGATCTTGGCAAGATGGGGTAAGACTGATATCTGGCGGAAATCATTGTTAATGTCTCTCGGTGGTTGCACTTTAGGAACAGGGGAAATTAGGGCATGTTTGTAGAGTGATGGATAACAACATTGACTTATACTACAGCACACAATGTCATAAACCACAGGAGCTAGGTCTTCGTGGTATTGTTTGAGCATCCATGCAGGAACCTTATCAATGCCAGTTGCTTTTCTTGGATTAAGATGTTTTAAGACCGCTTTAACTTGGCCAATAGAAGGAAGAGGTGGTTTGTTATTCTTATGTGGATGGTTCACTTCAGGTATTTCAAAGGCGACATTCGTGTAACGGTCCGACCATGGTTTAGTGAAGGCTTTCTGAAGTTTTTCAGCTAAGTCGGATAAGTCTAGGTTTTCGGGTCTGTGTGGAAATTGGGTGTGGGTTGTGTTTTCGGCATTTACTAAAGAGTAGATACAGTTATACCACTTCGATTGATTCGAGGTACGAAATTCTGAGGCCTTGGACCGATAGTAGGTGGCTTTAGCTTTAGCTATAAGATTTGCCACTTTCTCGCAGAGTTGTTTGTATCTTGGCTGATCACCACGAGAAAAGGCTTTCTGACGAGCTTTGATTTGCATTTTAATATTACCAGTGATCCACGGTTTATCAGAGTGATGTACTCTGATGGTTTTTTCGGGTAAGAACTCGTCAAGCATCTTGATTATATTGGAGTTATAAGCTGATACTTTCTCATCCACATCCAGTGCTGAATATACAGCAGTCCAATCTTCAGAAGCCATATTCAGGGAGAGGTCATTTAAATTTGCTCGTTTCATCAATCTAATTTTTTTGACATAACCGCAGTTTTCTGTCTTTTAATGGGCTTGATTAGAAGACATTGGTGGTCGGAGCGTCCAATTGGGGGGAGATGGCTAACAGTGTCAAAGAGAGGGAGCATATTTGTAAGGATTTGATCAAGAATGTTGTGTCCTCTAGTCGGTTTAGTTACAGATCTTTTTAAATTAAATCTGTTACATAGTTCTCTTAATTTTAGTTGATTGAAGTCCCCAGCTATAACAATTCCAGATGAAGGACGTTCGCGCAAGAGACTATCTATACAAGTAGTTAAGTATTCATTCATATCGATTGCTTGTTCGGCGGATTGACCAGGAGGGTAGTACACAACAGCAGCAACGATTGTACTGTAAGGTCTAGGGGTTCTGGGGGGTTTTAACAACAACCATATCACTTCTTTGTTTTCTTCTTCGAGGTGAGTCATACGCTCTGCTGGTAAACAATTATTCACGTAGGCGATCACTCCACCGCCAGGAGACTTTCTATCGCGACGAAATATGTTGTATTTATTACCGATCTTGATCTTACTACTAATACTAACCACTAAGCATTTTTAATTTAATATAGGCACTTGCAAGAGACGGTTGCCAAGGCTACAACAAGATTGTGGAAATGATCTCAAAAGAAGATTTTGAAACTGGAATGATAAACAACAACTCAGAAATAATCAAATACTTTACAGTAGAAGATAATATTTAATATGCTGTAAAACAATCAATGTACAAATAAACATTATAATATTTGCAAGCGCTGTGTGCGTATCTATCGCGTTCAAAATAGTCGTCGTACATCGCATATGTTCTATACAAAACGTCCTCATCTTCAATATATCATTATACATCATAAAGATCATAAAAAATAAGTATATCTATAAAATATTCCCATGCATAAAAATGTGAAAAATCTCGCATCGTCTTCATAGCGTTCACTAGCCATTCATTGCACTCAATCTTACGTGCATACGTCTTGTGTAATTCATGTTGCGTAATGTACATCAGTATCTGATCAAACAACTCTTGCTGGTCTGTTTTCGTGTGCCCATGCCAATTTTGTGGAAAATACTCGTTTGCAAGATTAAATTCGTCCATCAAGGCGACTTACTTTTCTTTTAACCACTACGATTCCCTGTGATGGTGCCCTACGTTTCTCGCCAACAACCGTTTGTCGCATCTTTTCATTCACTCGATAATTTTCACCGTAACCCGTCACAATCAACGTGTTCAAGAATTGTCCTGTGTACATCAGAGACGAAAGTTTTTCATGTGCCAACAAAATATTACAAAACGCCAAAACGTATTTTTTTATTATGTAAAACATTATCCTCGAAGGGTAAGCCAATTTCTCTCAGGGGTGGGGGTGTAGTTAAATACAATGCGTCCTCGAAATTCTCTCGATCGACCTGAATCCTACGAATCACAGTCTCACCTATTCCGAACTCTAACAAAACAAGCATAATTTCTAACAACGCATAGCAATCACAAACAAAACCAATGTTGCACATAATGCTATACACTCTTCAGTTTTAACTACTATCTTAACAGAAAATACACCATTTTCGTATTTTACCTTACAATCCATTTTTATTTGTCAAATGTCAAATAATCACATACACATGATGTCTAATATGTCTAAATTTATTCAAAGTTGTTTACCCTCCATGTATAGTAATCGACCTATTTATTATACAAAGTCGATTACCATGTATAGTAATCGACCTATTTTGTATACAAAATGGTAGCATATTTTGAATCGTCATCCGCTTTCACTTCCATAGGTTCAGATTTCACATCGTTTATAAAATTGGGATACCACGGTTCTTTATCGCCGAATAAACCTGAACCTGAATAACAAAAAAAAATGAATCTCGAACTGAAAATGACACCGCAGGAACGAAAAATCCTAGATAGCATTACTAAAAGGATGTATACACTGCGAGTATACGGATGCACACGATCCCAAATTACATTTTCGCATACGATACTGTGGAAACTGTCGTGTGGACATGTGGCGTCAAACTCAAGAACAACAAAAAGTTGAATTCGAAGAAAAATTTGCTCGTATCGAAAAAGAGGGTACGCAAGAATTCATGTCGACGGGTCGCGTTTACCAATGTACCCCAGCCAGTTACCAATACATTCATCTTAATACGTCAAAAACATTCACCAGTAGTAAATCTATGCTAGAAGATGCCGTAGGCCAATATCTCAAAGATCCCGATAAAGACCTCGCATTCGAAGAATTGCTCTATAAAAATCTAAAAACTCGATGCGAGCAAAAAGCCAAAGTGTTCATGCAAACGTGTGGGAAAACACGTACAGACTTAAAAATCGGAGAGCTGCAAGAAAAATTGGCACGCATCGATACGTACGGCAGCAACGAATTCGTATTCACGGGTAACGAAACCGATACGGAGCCAAAGACGTACGAATACGTTCATCTCAACGAATATGAAAAATACACAAGCAAACACAGCAAAATCGCAGATGCAATCACTTGAATACCTTTCTGGACATAAAAATAAAAGGCCTGACGGGTTGAGAGCTTCTCTCGAACTAGAAAATGATCTTGGACGCATTCTACAATTTAATTAATTTATAAAAAACAAGTATATAATAAAGAAATAATAAATAAACAACTTTTTTTGCACGCTCTCTCATCTCTGTCTGTTCATCACAAAGATCAGGCTTACTTTTCTCGCCTTGTTCTCTAGTCTGCGCCAATTTATAATAATGATTAAGACTCACGCCGGTTTTTTTCTCAAAACTTCTCTTACTCCTTCTCCAAACCGTTAGAAATATCTTGCAAAAGCATTCTCCTACAATTCAACAAGCCCCCAATACCGCGACCAAACTGCTGTCGCGCAGTAACATCAATATTATATAGCAATTGCATTTGCATTCGTCGAAGCAATATATCGTAAAGAGAATCATTGCCGCAAATAAACCCGGGTATAAGACCACGTTGCAACAATATCGCCTCCACATTTACAATTCGCCATTCTTCTTTCCCCTTGGTTCTTCAATTTCGTCCCTTGGTTCATCAAATTCAAATGATTTTCCATTCATCCACGAAATCACAACCTCTTCCCACTTTGAATGCTGCATCTCGAATGATAAACAGAGTGCAAATTCAAAAAACTTATTAACAATCAAAAAAATAGTTATAGCGACGATGAGAAGCGACGATGAGAAGCGTGTGTGTGAACCAACGTAAAATTAATATTCACTAATAACTCACCTATCCTCTCTCTGATTGGTCACTTCCCTAACATTCCTTTGTCCACGTGACCACAAAAACTCCCCCCGTCCGTACAGCCATGGCCAACGCCCTACCACACCCACTCACACCCTCTCACACAATACTATTCCCTATTAATTTCAACTTGGTTCACACACCCCCCATCAAAAATAATATTTAACTTAACATGACTACTCACATGCATGTATGCTCTTTGCAAAACGTTTTAAAGAAAAAGCTTTTATCGATAGACTTTGACACGAGTTTCAAGTAACAACGATTAAAAATAAGCTTGCTTTCACCCTTATTTGAAGATTTTTAAATTGTAACCTAAATTAAAAAACGGCAATATTCAACAAATATAAAACATTTTCTGTGTTGATATACAGTTATATCAACATAAATTGGGAAAACTCGAGATTAGTTTTCCCAATTTCCACGAGTGTTGATATAACTGTATATCAATACGGAAAAATGTTTTATATGTTTTTATAATATAGCTCAAAGAAATATAAAGAAAAAAATTTTCAGTGTTGGCATTGAGTTATATCAACACGGCTCTTAGCCAATCAGCGTTCAGAATTTACAAATGCTATATTATAAATGAAAAATGCACTGAATACGTAATATTTTAGTATACGTAACACAGTTCTAAAGCAAGTTAACAATACATCAATCTTAAAAGCAAACTTACCTTTAGTTAGGTTAGAGTTAGATAATGCTGGCAAACTTTGCAACTTGCGTACAAATTGTTAATTGGCTTTTTCAAAACGTGGCATACTCCTGAAGATGACTGTAATCGACTAATAGTTTTAATAATTAAAATGAATTAAAATATTTACAATATACGAAGAGTTTTTTGTTTTGTTTTTAATAAAAATACTCTATATATGTCAAGCGTGCATAATTTAAATTGGAATGCCCAAAGATTGTTGTATGATGGGTGATACCGCAGGAAAGATAACAAATGGCTGCATTGTCTTTAACTTGCGAGACTATAGACCATTAATTATTACTTGTGTATCATTCGACTTATACAACAATGACATAATGAGTGTGTTTGAGTTTGTCTAATAAATTTATATGCAATGCTCTTAACTGTCTGTGTAAACTTCACTCAACGTCATACTGGAATTCAAATATTATAATTTAAATGACTTCTGCATGTATAGTGAATTGTAGAGAATTCTACAGCGTCGTTTCTTTCGCTCGACTGCATTTAATATATCAGCCGCTTATGTTATTTCTATCACAATAAATTAATTGAACCTTTTAAGTTTTAGCCCATAAATCATAATATATGAATTTTTAAGCACAGAGAAAAGTATTTTGCATTTTCAAACGTGAACAAAAAATATATTCTCTTTTCCCACTAAGGTGAGACTCTCACAGTTAAATTCTCTGACTTTCTGTTTATTTATAAATTCTCTGACTGTGCTGAAGTTCACTACAAGCTAATGTAACTGTTATATACACACACATACTGTATACGCACTGAGATATTTAAATTCAGAAACGTTTTGCTCACATAAATAAAAGCAGGATACGAAGGTGGTTGTGGATTTTTCTATACCAATGCGACGCTTCAGCGTGAAATGGTTTTTCAGGTATTTCATTGTGTATGAACTAAAGATATGCAAAATGCTTTTTTACTGCACATCATGCAATTGCTAGGTCGAATGAACCCTGCATTCATGGAATCTCATGTTAGTTCACTCCACTTTGATCCCTTTCTGAATGACTTTGCATGTCTTTGTTAACTTGGAGACATAGTCCTATATACAACGAACCTTTTTTCTCATTTTTTTTTGCAAACAAAGGTTCCAAAAACAAAATCAGGTGTGGTATAAATGTTCATGTCCTGAATGTTTTTCCTATATTGGGAAAGCGATAGATGCCTCTCTCTACACACTCGAGATCATCAACGAACACGCTAAGTCTGGTTTTTGAGGTATTTCGTTGTCTATGAACAAAAACAGGCAAAATTATTCTCACCGCACAGCAAGTGTTACTGTTAGGAATTAAATTTATCAGCCTCTTATTATATCTCTATAACAATAAATTAATTGAAACTTTTAAGTTTTACGCCATAATATATGAACTTTTAGGCACAGAGAAAAGTATTTTCGTTTTCGAACGAAAACATATTATAATAGTTTTGTTTGTGGAAACACCACGTAAATTTATTACTGCAAAATCGAAGTAAAGATTCTCGCACTGAAAGTTAAATCTTCTGACTTTTGTTGGTATGCTAAAGTTCGCTACAAACTAATTATGTATTCATACATACAGTACATAGTGTATACTGGAGATATATATTTCAGGAACGTTTTGCTTAATTATCAAAATAAAAGCAGAATAGGACTGCAAACGTATAATATAGTGTATGTTCAATGGTGGTTGATGGATTTTTCTATATTTTTTTTCTATTTTTATTTCAATATAACTCACGAAAAAGATTTTATCAACTTTTTTAAAATCGATTACGTTTCATATTCTCATTACATGAACATAGAATTCGCGTAGTTACGGTGACATTTGCTCGTCAATTTCACTACAAAATAGTTTGTAGCTGTGGTGTTCAATTTCGTTGTCGATACTAGTATTATCAAACATTTTTTTCGATTGTAGGGTGTATATTAAAATTGTTTTGTTTACCTTTTGAAATTATAGGCGTAAAGGGGGATTTCCAGTCCT